TTCACCAGGGTAGGTCGTGGTGCACGCCCGAGTGGCGGGCTCGAACATGATGTTGGCGGTCAGACAGATTGAGCCCGAGACGTATGTGCAGGCGGTCATCCTGTAGGAGCCAATGAATCGCGGGGGGAGAGAAGATAAAGTCAGCTGGTGATCTGGTCGGTCCTAGGGGTAGGGGGGGGAGGGAGATTTTGGGAGGGAATTGATATTTCAAGGGGGAAAGAAAGGGTGGTTTTGCTAACCAGATAAACGCCTGGTCTCGGTGTTCCACACCCCAGAAGAGCCGCATGTACTCTCGCGTCTCGGCGATGAGTTTCTCCCAGTCCTGCAGGGACGGGGTTGGTAGAGGGAGTGGAACAGGCACTGGCACTGGCGCTTGGACAGGGACGATAGAGACAGAGACAGGGACAGGACCCGGCGAGTTCATCACTGTTCTGCCAAAAGTGCGGAGACTCTGGACCCAGTGCGATGCCATGGCATGTGCGCGGTATACCTGCGTCCGACAGGCGAGGTGGGCCGAATAGAGGACCGCGAAGCTCCTGCTCAGGTTCTGCTGGCCGGCTTGGAGGATGGCGCTGGGCCGAAACGGTGGCGGGATGCTGGAGAGCCATGCGTCCAGCATGTGGTTCAGCTGTGCCACGTCCTCGTCGCGCGCCGAGTCAACCGATGTCCCCATGCCGGCGCGGGTCGCAACCATAAAGTCGTAGACTTCACCTTGGATCTGGGCGAGTTGGACGCGGCAGCGGAGGAAGCTGAATGGAACGGTACAGTCAGTGTTGGAAGTTATGGCAACCGTTCCAGCACCGTCTTCGGGCTCTGCTGACGGGTATTCGAGTTCAATATCGGCCTCGCGCTGTACAGGGGGCTGACCTGCGCGTAAGCTGATATCTCTGTCGAGGATGTATGCGATCCAGAAGACTCGGTCCCGTTCCAAGACCTGCGAATGGTCGAGGCGGTGCTTCTCGGTGCTTCTCCGGGTATGCAGGCCCAATTCGTGCGCCAGACGTAGAGCAACGGCGATCAGCATCGTCGCGGGCTTGACATCTTGCGTGCCCCGGAAGAGCATGACCATCCCCACCAGGATCTGGACGTTGAGAAGATCTGCGTCGCCCATGATCACCTCGGAGAGCACTGTCTGGGCGTTGTGCAGGTAGTCCGCCGCGCTACTCTCGCCTGGTGTCGCGGGTATTTGACGGTGAGCTAGCGCGAGGACCACGTTGATGGCCGCCCACGTCGTCCGCTCTCTCCGATCAGGATACGTGTACCAGTCGTTGATGGATTGCAGGAGTCGGCCCGGGTGGAACAGCGGAAGAACGGCGTTCAGCGTCGTGAGGTACGCTTCCGTCGCAGACAAAACGTCCTGGCGCGGCGGAAGTTCCATGCGTGCATTGGGAAGTTCTTTCTGTACCAAGAGAACGTAGTCTTCAGGGATGCTGGGAGAGACAGCTTGGACCTCTGAGTTCGTCTCCCATCTCGGCATAAGACTTTGAAGCTCCTCGATCCTCTTCAGGGCTTGTTCCAGACTCGATTCGAGAGACTCTACCTGCTCCCGCAGGACTGCAATATCTTCACTCGACTCCCGACGTCTGGTCCGCGCCTTACGGCTCGCAGCCCCGAAAGCACAGACCGAGTCATGTAGAGTGCAATTGGTGCATCGGGGCTTTTGTGCGTCGCATTTGATTCTCCTGCGGTAGCAAAAGTCGCACGCCTTTGTCCGGATGTGTCAGTCCACGGCAGCGATCGAAACAAGTCTAGGGAGACGAACCTTGCGAACTTTGTGTTGCAGCATACTGAGCAACTCAGTAAAAGGAGAGGTGAAAAAGGTACGCAGAGTGAGTGCCTGGTATGGTGACTGTTGAGTAGACAAGCAGCCTCATGTTCCGCGGAACCAACGCTGACAAATGAGAACAAGTCAAAGTTCTGCACTAAACCGCTTTGGGGTTCTCGATATGACGATTGCAATATGACTCAGTCGATCGGAGGTGTAGCTTCTAGGAGAATACAGCCGAAATCAATCCCGACATTGGATGGACATACTGTCTCCATTTATCTATTTATATCAGCCTTATTGACCAACAAACACCATCATCCCCAACTACATGTCGACACCATTCAAATACACTCTCAGCAGAGACGACGTCTGGATCTCCTTCGCCCGAGCCTTGAGTTCTTCCACATCCCAATTCGCCCAGACAAACTTGTTCCGCAGAAACGCCGCTTCCTCCGACACAAGCCACACGACAAAGTGTGCCGGCAAATCCACTGTCGGTCAAGGTGTGTTAGCCACGTGTCATGATTTTCTATAAGCAGCAATAGCAAATCACATCCACCACCAGCGGTGGTATATAGCATATGGCATAAAAAGGAAATGCAAGGTAATACGTAAGTACATACCTGAGTCCGGGCCCGTTGGCATATTGGGGTTGATCTCCGTGCTGATGATGCCCGGGTGGATGCCCACGACATGAATGTTCGGGTGCTCGGAGGCGTAATACTCCATCATCTTCAGTGTCGCTGCTTTTGAGGCCGCGTAGCTCCACACCCCCGGCACTTCTGGCAGAGGAGCCCAGTGACCGATGCCACTTCCCACGTTAATGAGCTTTGCGCCGGGCGCTGCTAGCGGAGTAAACACTTGCAGGGCATTGTACGAGCCTATAAAGTTGATCTCGAAACATCGCCGGACCTCTGATTCTGGATAGTCGACCACCCCGGCTTCATGGGGGAGGACCCCGGCATTGTTGAGGAATATGTCAATCTTGTTGCGGCCGTCGCCGCCACCGATTTTCGCCACAATGGCATCCAGAGCGGCCTCGAGGGATCCACGATTCGTGACATCGCCCGACTGCAGAACCACAAGAGTCGAGGGGTTGGCTTCGGTGATTGCTGTCGCAGCCGTCTGGAGACGGTCGACTCTACGCCCTATGATGGAGACGGATCTGGCGCCCGCGGTAGCAAAGGCAATGGCGGTAGCCTTCCCAATGCCAGTTCCTCCACCTGTGATGACGACGTTCTTCCCAGCAGCGGACACCTCCGGCCTCGTAGGCGAGATGGCCGGGTAAGGCCTATTGTGCCATGTTTTGGTGAATGTGACGAAACTTGCAAACGGAAGGGGCGCCATGGTGAGTGCTTGTATCTGCAACAGGAAGAGTGAAGAGAGTATTCTGTCCGGATTATTAGCTCTTTATATACACATAGGAGACGCGTGATCTTGCCATCCTATACCTAACTGATTTCTAAGCTCCTCCTTAACAAATGCTTCCGCGGAAGGGGACCAAGGTAAGCAACCACGCAACAAGGGAGTGACGGTGACATGGACCCGCTCCACGGAACGTAATGACCTATAACTATGGAGTCCGTCATAATTTATTGCTCAGGCCATGCTCGAGCATGGAGAGAAATCGGCATCCTCTGTAGATAGTGAGTGTTGTTGACCAAGAAAGGTAACTTCAGTAGCGGAAGCATATTTAGACATTTGGGCCTGGTTTCTGGAGTACAACAGATGTCTTCATATATTGATAGCCGCCCAAATTGCTCATATCATCTCGGCCAACCGGGCAGCTGTCCAGAGAATTCCTCGAACAGAACCAGTAGCATCGTCCTTGTGGAACGAAAATCTCGGTCACATCCTGGACCTGTGCAAATCAGCCACAAGCGATGCTCGGTATGACAATTCAAACAGAGTTTGGCCCTGCAGACTGAGAATTGAGAATTTATTTCAGCGAGCATGGTCCATTGTGATGGCACAGGCAAAAATATCAGTCCTTGCTCTTCGCAGCCGTGAAGTCTGGGATTACAGGACAGCGCAGGAAACATCAACCCAACCGACCTACAGGCAAGGGCCAGATTGCCCTTGACCCCTTCCAAGTCATCCACATTCAGGACCTCTCAAGTCTCCACCTGACAAAGTCAATATGATGATCAGTCCTCCGCATGTAGCAGTGTTGGGACGGTCTGTCATGCAGTGGTCATTGTCCTAATGCTGATCTGTGGTGTCAAGAAACTCGGCTGTATCCCCTAATCCCATGTTGTCGGGAACAATTGATTTGTTGGATAAGAGAGCAAAGTACGGCTCAACAGAAGCGGTGGTAGATTTGTGGTGGGCTAGGAGGCCACGAACGATAGTGGTCGTGGTGGTTGTGGGGAGCCACTAAAGTGAAGTGACGTTGAGAAGCATCTGGGGCAACAACACTTCACCGTACTTACTAGTGCGGACCACATCACGCAATGCGCAGATTTCGGATGAAACGGGACAACATCAACATGCCCTATCAGGCAACAAAGCTGCCTGAGATTGGTAAGGATTGGATGACGTTGACTAAGGCACTGCTGTGACCCAAGTTGAGCGCGTCCTGTCGTACAACAAGGACAAATAAGGCTTTTGGTGGGTATCAATTAAGTTATGTAGCTTTCAACAAGACAGTCCAGCCAAAGACTGCGGGCGTCTGCTCGGACGAAAATACATCAGAGTTTTTATACCCCCTCCCGCGGCACTTATTCGGCGTGTTCGTGTGCCTCCTGTACATCCGCCTCGGCCTTTTCCCCTTGCTCTGCCTAGACCGAAGCCAACACGCTCGACCGCATCGATCAAGACCGTTCATAACGCAAGCTTCGGCGCAATATCTGTCCCATTCATGGTTTGGGCGGGATCAAGAACAGTCAGCGGGGACAGTCAACTCAGTGTCATCATTTCGCTTCTGGCTGCACGTGGTTGGCTTTGCCCTTTTTGAGGATGGCATCAATGATATCTTGTGAGCACTTGTTTGACGTATTCATTGACGAACGCTTAGAATTGGGCACTTCGTCGGGTTCATTATGCGACTCGATAAGACTCTCCATCTTAGGCCTCAAGGAAAGGGAGGTTCTCGAAGACGATCTGTCGTCATTTGTAATGAGTTTCTCGGGTTTTGTCTCTGCGCTATCGATCGAGGCAAGAGACGGCACCAATTCCAGCAGCCTGGACGGCAACACCGATGCGTTTTGAGGCAGTGATTTTGGTGAGGAGTTCGGTCCCCAACTAGGCGAGCTTGAAGTAGGGATCCCTGGCGTAACTGCTCGTGACGGGATTGTCGAGTTGAAGGACGCCGTCGAAGCTCTGCTGAGACTCGGTGTCGTGAATGGACAGTCTCGTTCTTTTGTCAGGAAAGGATGCTCCAGTAGTTGTTTAGCAGTCCATCGTTCTTCAGGCACCCAAGTGATCATTTTCTTGGCGAAGTCAATAAACAACTCTTTCTCTTCCCCTTTCAGCCTGACGATGGAAGATTCAAACGTGTGTTCCTCGACATATTCGGGATATTTGAACTGGCCTTCCGAGTCGAAGTAGGCCGATGCTTTGGCACAACGCTTCAGGAAATCTTTGGGTGGAGGCCCCAACAGGGCCACCATCAAACCCAAGTGCCGCTCGGGATGGTAGTGACCGGGTTTCGTATCAATCCGATCGAACAATCCAAAATGCTCAAATAAATCCCACAACATGACTCCCAGATTCCAGATGTCGGCCGGATAGGACCACCCCGCCTGCAAGATGACTTCGGGCGCCATGAAAGCATTGGACTGAATAGGCTTCGTGTTCTTCTCGTCTCCCCACGCCGCCAGACCGATATCGGTGATTTTCGCAGACGCAATGACGGCTTCATTGGGCGGTTCTCCGAAATCACTGCACGATGTGTAGATGACCCGTCCGTGGCTATCAGGCGCCTTCCGGGGTGCTGGATGTTCTATTTGATTCTGCACAAAGTGGTCGAGGATGTTAGGGTCGCCCAGACCCATCATGATGTTGTCAGCCTTCAGATCGGTATGGACAACATGGCACTCGGAATGCATGTAGTCGAGACCCTGTAACAGAGCTGGCAGCAAGACGCGAAGTTTTCCACAGCTAAATCGTCGACCGGGGAATTTCTCCATGCACAAATCGATGGGTTCACGGAGTACATCGTACACGATGCACAAATGTTCGCCGTGCTTTCCCCTGAGCTTGAAGGTGTCGAGCATGAATCGGACATGGCCATACCCAGGATGGTTGGGATTGGCTGAGAACAGCTTCTGCGCGATCTCTCGTCGGCCTTTTTGGAAGTCTTCACCAAGGGTGTTGACGTTAATCTTGATGGTAACATATTTGCGGTTGCCGGCATTCACATCACTGTCCAGTAAAGATCCACAGGTTAGACAGCTGTATCACCAAGTTACTGGCATCAATTGGAAACTTACGCTTGGAGATCCCTGGCGAGCCAGACTGTGGCCGTCATGCCATAACCGAGTTTGACCAGGATTTCATAGCGATGGTTTAACACTTCACCCAGTTTTACAGGGTACCAGTGATCTGGGTTGTACTTGGGAAGTGTCTCTTCCTCGATCTGTTTATGGCCGGAGATCGTATCGCCTTGAGGATGCGGCGAAGTGCCCCGCGAATGCAACAGATTATTCAGCGTCTGTTTGTTATGGCTGTGTGCCCGCTTGAGTAAGTTGGGACGCATGGTGACGGGACGGTGGAGAAGAGCAAGCGGATCAGAAATGGATCAAAGACAAAGATGCTGACACTCCGGTTCCATTGCTTTGTTGCCAGATAACGTGGATTTCAGCGAGATGAGCCGCACTGGGGTGAGCAGTGGACGTTAAATTTGAGTGAGGCTGGAGCACAGCTGAAACTTGTAGATGTAGCCCGGCAGGGCGGATGAATCGGCTAAGGCGGCGACTTCAAAATCGGACCCCGGATATCCTGGTTCCTGGTTACCTACCTGTCCAAGGTCAGCCCAGGGTTCAGGAATGTACGACCAAGATCGTTCACGTTAGCGGCCGACGGCGGACAGAAAATGGCGATGGCGAAATCTGGGATGTGAGGGAAAAGAGGGTTCTGGAAACAGGATGCGCCAAATGGTATAAGACAAGAATATGCACGACAGGTTTTGGGCACATGGCCCAGAGTGCATTGTTATTCGCGGCGGAGAAAGAGGAAGCTTGATTTCTCAGGATGAGGGAGATAGAGAATGGGGGAAATCAGGATGATGGTGGGCAGTGAACCGGGCCCGATGAGTGATCGATCCTTTGAGGGTCGACGCGCGCCTCTTACGTGACCCAGCTCTTTTTTGATCGCTCTCAGACACCGCAGGGGTAGGAGGACAAGTGCTTGTGCCGCTAGGTATGTATTGCGTGGTGGAAATTGCGTGTGCCGTGCGTCAAAAGTGCCACGCGAAACTCACCGATAGGGTAGAAATTGGTGCTGGTGCTGGGGCTATGATGTCCGCAGGCGCTTGGAGTCGAGGGCGTTTTGTGAGTTGCTGGCCTCGCGGCGAATAGAGAAGAAGATCCGACTCTGGCGGTCAGAAGTCAGAACAGATGTCTGAGAAGAGGAGGGAAATAGAGCTGAAGGGCTGAGGTCAAGGTGAAGCTGAAGGTCGAATTTGAAAACGAGGTTCGTGGGCTGTCAAAAGTGTTTGGCCGCAGATAAACCCCATCACACAAGGACCTTTGAGGACTTCCACGGGCCCTAATTAGGTACGAGCTCCTTAGTTAGTTGGAGTTTGGGGCTTGGTTCAGGGAATGGTTCACGGACAACAAACTCCTAGTTGGGCAGCCTAGGTGACTGCGGTTCCCCTAGGCGCTGGATTAGTTAAAGACTGGGTACCCAACAAAAGCTCCAGGCACTCACCTGGTTCGTCCGTAGCCCACAAGTTTGTCAGCCGGCCGCTAGTCGATCTTCTCACGTGACCCACTGATGGAGGGGGAGATCTGCCAATTTTATCCCTCAAGCCCAAACAGCCCCTCAGCCTCTTCCTTCTCTGTGTCTCTCACTCTCACTCTCACCCTCACCGCGCAAATCGCTCGTTCATTGTTTTGACACTCCTTATGGGCACGGTTTCTCCCTTTGCCATCTCTCTCGTATCAACATGCACACTCTCAGCAGTGCTGCGCCCTTCTCCACCCCCATATCATGGCTCCCATCCAGCCAAAAGCTTGTCTAATTCCTGCGCGCCTTGACAGCCCGGGCCCCTCGAATTACCTTAATCTCTAGAGGATCACCCAAGATCACCCAAGATCTAAGTACATCTTAGTCACTCGCAGATCCTCACACATGAACAGATCCGCATGAACTCCCAAGCACATGGAATATTCTCGGGCATGCAGAAGAATCAGGAAACCCATCTCCTGGCCATCCACAACCTTCCCCAGCCGCACGCACATGTCTGGCCCACAAGCCGACATTTTGCCGCCATATTATAGGTTCCCCTGCTGAAGACGGCGGGCAAAATATCGCGCAACCACTCGTCTATTTCTTTGGTTTGATCTGGAGTTTCTTCTCTTGATTTCCGAGACCAGAAATGACGCAAATATGCTCTGATACATCCAAGTGCCTCAAAATGTCCATCGCGCCTCATGTGGTGGAAGTTCTGGCTCTTGATAAGCGTGTCGTCTGCCTACTGAGAAACTAATATTTGTCACCAGATAAATTGTCAGCGGCCAGCCTCGGTCACAACAACTAATCACCAGAGTAAAATAATGAACAATTTAGACACTGGCAACCAGCATGATGTGCTCGGCTCTTTTCGCAAAGGTTCGTGTCAACCAAGCAGCACAGGGCTTGTGGTGGATGAACGCGATCGGGCAGGGGAGACAAAGAGATGGTGTGCAGCAGACAATCGCAGAAGACAGAAAGATCACGGAAGAGTGGGTCGTGTTCTGATAAGAACGTTACAAGTACATTCTGGGAACGCGTGGAAAGACATGAAGGGGGAGGGGAAGCCGGAGATATGGATCTAGGCAAAGTGGCCTTGCTCTAATGATACTGTACAAGTACGGATGGGTGACGGAAGGTTGACCAGAATCATGCTGCGTGCGCTGGCGTATGCATGTACAAGTAGACTTGTGGTCTCGCGTCTCTTCAATTACAAGGACTTGTACCTCGGAGAGGACCAGAAGATCGAGGATACCCTTCCTCTTCCCCATCAAGCATACCTCTCTCTCTTCCCCCTTCTTATACTCATCATCCGGCGGCAATGACTTTCTTTGTATCTGAAACGGACACGATCACAAATAAAAAGAAGCCCGGAACCGGCCTCGCTTAATCACTGAATGCTACACTACGAGTAGTACTACGTACACCTCCCTTCGGTCATTGGGCGCCAGGAGACACACAAACGAAGACACTATACTGTGCTTGGATGCTTCTGGGTTTCTACGACATTCCTCGTCACAAGCACAAGGATTGCACATGCACATGTGCTCGGTAGGTACACAAGGCGCTATGTACAAGGACAGTTGTATGTCCCTCGTACTAATTGTAGATTAGTGGTTGGCTTCACCCCCACCACAAGGCCGGTTTTGAGTCCGAGTCCGAGTCCGAGTTTGAGTTTGAGGTTGAGACTGAGACCGAGAACTGAGAATCCTTCGCCTCGTGATTCATCTACGTTTTCCTCGTACCTCGTACTTTGTCCTTGTCCTTCTATCGAGTGATTCTCTGCCTTTGCTATGGCCGTACACTCCGACCATGATGAGCAAGGACTCCATCGCACCTCAAGCAGTGCGAATTGAGTCCGAACTGACCAAACACCAACATCCTTGCGCTTGTCACAAAATATCGCAGGATCCTAGCCCTTGCCCTATTCGCATGTGTACTTGTGTACTTGTGGACTTACTAACCCAACCCACCATCCATTCAAACCGACCGGCCGACCGACCGGCCCCAGCCCCAGCGAGACCGGACATCAACACCAATACCAACACCCTTTGCCCCCCATCCCCTCCGGCGCGGTCATGGCGCTACATATGTATGTAAGTAAGTGAAGTGATACTTAATTACGGAGTAAAAAGCGGGCTTCTTCTCTCTCCTCATTTCTTTCTTTCCGTTCTCTTAACCCTCAGAATAGGCAGTGGTTGCGAGGAAGAATCCATAAGTTTTACATCAGTCCGTCAATCCCATCAAAAGCCCCTCTCTTCATGACGAAGTACAAGTTCTTGGGTGGTATATAAGTCACCCTTTCCGACGAAGTCTCCCATCCCAGGTCGTCGTGACGGTACAGCTGCTTGTGGTGGTGTCGGCTGTGCCAGTGGTCGGTGATCGCTCCTACAGCCTCGCATCAAGGACCTATATGAATACGAGAGAGGTTCCTGCTCGTTGCGCGTGCTGTACTTGGTCTCATTTGTTCGCAAGCCAGAGGAGAGCCTTAAAGTCAGTGGCCGGACCAGAAAGCGATAAGTACGGAGAAGACAAGCAGACGGGCGAGACAGAGTGAGAGAGGACGAGAGAGAGAGAGATAACCAGGCCTTGGTTGCATCTTCACACAAGCCTTTCCGCAACCAGCGGCAGCCAGCGACAACCAGAACCACGAGACACACCAAACCCCATCATTCCGCCCAGAAACCAGACCAGCACTCGACTCAACCCGGCTCTATATCCCAATTAGAAGACACGATCCCTCCTCTCCTCTTCAAGGACTACGACCCAGTCAGTCAGTCGCGCACAACACACAAAACACAGTCGCGCACACAGACACGGATGAGAAACAACCAGGAAGCAAGAAGATGGGCCTCCTCCGCTACCTCGAATACTACCTCGCGCGCCTCTTATACTCACAAAAGGGGCGCGACGCCAAACTGCTGACGCGGGCGGCCGTCTTCGCCACCGTCCCCCAAACCGTGCAGGTCACGTCGCCGACGCTGGGCGCATCGCCAGCACACCTCTCGGTCGAACACACGCAGTTCGGCACGTCGAGGTTCCCGGACCTGTCGTGGTCCTTGGAGGATGGTGTTGACAGTGTCAAAGAGTGGCTCCTGATCTGCGAGGACCCGGACGCGCCGCTGCCCCTCGTGCCCGTGCACGGGCTGTACTACGCCATCCCCGCGACCAAGACGACCGTCGGGCCCGACGACTTCACGCTGGCCGTCGATACTTCCAAGACTGCGCCTGCGGACGAACCCGGCGCAAAACACCTCGCCGGCGGGTTCCGACTGGGCAAGAACCTGCGAGGCACGCTGTACTCGGGCCCGCGCCCGCCCGTCGGCCACGGCGAGCATCGGTATTTCTTCCAGGTAGTCGCCCTCAAGACCCGCCTAGACACAAAGAAGATGAAGCCCCTGGCCACCAGGGACGACGTGCTCAGAGAGATTCAGGGCAAGATATGCGCGTGGGGAGAGTGGATCGGCATCTTTGAGCACAAGTGGTAACAATCACCAGAAAAGGGGAGACGAAAGGAGGAACTGAGAGAGAGGCGTCAAATTGCAGTTTCTCGTGGTGTTGTTGCTGGGTTCACAAACCGTGCCAGTGCTTTCCGTCGCACAATTACAGTGTTTCAATATTAAAAGAGTCTTTACCTCTCCTTGCTTCCATCCCGAAAATTCAAAGCAAAGCCGCCTTCGTTTCCGCGACTGTTGCTGCGTTTGTTCCCATCATGAAGATACCCAGCCCCCGAGACATGTTTACTCATACACACTTCTCCCTTCCGTTCATATGGTGGAAATTGGACCATCGGTCCATATCGACGAGAAGACGTCGTCCGTGACAGGCCAGCCAAACTCGGTCAGCATCGGATCGTCCAGGAAGGTCGAGTAATCAGGCTTCGTTATCACCGGGACCGAGCGATCATCCGGAGCAGCCGCGTCGGATTCGTTGGCGGCTTCTGTGCCATCTGTCGTACTTAGCAATGTGACCCTAGAGGTACCCAGAATACTTCTTACCTGTCCGATTATCATTCAAGGGCGGCGGGTAGACGCCCATAAAACCCCCAAACTCTTCCCTCCACCAGACAATTCCGTCCAAGACGACGCTGCCAGTTAGGCGGCTGCGGATCCGCAGCGCTACCACCTCGGCTCCATTAGGTCTCTTGAACACACGACTACTATTCCAGAGTTGGGTCAAGGCAACACCGTTGCGAGCTGGCAGGTCATCGTTCTGGACCGACATGCGTTTGTGGAGGCTGATCCCCAGGAAAAGGGCACTTTTGGCCCTCTCGACGTCGATGTATCGATTGAGAGAAGTCTTGAGCAGCCGTAAAAGTACGTGGCTGGTTATCATCAGACTGTAGAAGAAATACAGTCCCGCACCAGAAAGGCAAAGCTGTCCAGACCTGTCCAAGTTGTCAAACGATTCAATCACCTGGCAGCACGACGCGCAAAGATCGTAAAGCGTCGTCGGGTCGTGAGCTGTTGGAGACTTGTACAAGTTGAAGGCTTGGATTGTGAGGGTTGCAATATGAATGTAGAGCTGGTCGAGGTCTGAAAGATGATTAATCTCAGAAAACAGGTCTCAAAGGTTGGACTCACCAGAAGAGGATTCCAATGCGACACTGGAAATCTGGGCATGAAAGAGATTCAGTAGCGTATCCAGCGACCTCTCTTGATCCGGACTCATTTTCCAGAGCCCGTTTTGTGAGACGGCAATGCAGCACCTCGTGACTACATCCTGTAACTTCAATTCAAATTTTAGCTTTGGTGATATTCTCTGAAAGAGTGCTCGTCGCTGTTCGACATCGTGGGGGACATCGAGCATAGGCGTCGGCGCGCTTCCCTTGGAACAACAACCCCTAGTAGGCAAACATTAGTCGGTGCAAAACCTGTGCCAGTGTCAATAAAAAGGCGTACCGCTGATAGACAAGTGCACAGTATCCCCAAGTCTCGGCACGAATCTTCAGCTCATCTTCGGTAAGTTTGACCGGGATTTTGCTGAACTCGTGACTTGCGACTGGCACATGTAATCCGATTTGCATGGCCATGTGTAGCACGGCAGCAGAGAGCGGATAAGTCATGTCGTGTCCATTGCCAGCTTTCGGGAATGGCCAATATAGGATGAGTAGCAAGGCTTGCACAACAGGCAACGTGACGGGCGCGTTGAGTGACATCAACGCCATAGCTTTGATCTTGGACGGCAGAACAGAGATCAGTGTCGGGTTTCTGGAATAGGTCCGGCATGCGACACCAACAATCGCCCAGAAAAGTAAGGGACAGAGGTTGTAATATCCATTCGGCGTCATGTTGGAATCGAGAACAGGAACCAGGCCAGCGTAGTCTCGGAAATACCTATAAAATGCTTAGAGGATGATCTGAAACCCCACTCAACACACCTACAGCTGGAACATGGCGTCAATATCTTTGGAGTCCACAGTGTGCCCTTCTAGAGACCGCGGCAAGGTGCCTGTAGGTTGAAAGTCATGAGCCAGACTTTCCGGGGTCTGTAGTGATTCAGCGGCCGCCTGAGAGAAGGATCGAAACGAGACCGGGGCAATGGCTGCGTCTCTAAAGAAAGGGGCGACTGAAGCAAGACGACTTTCGGACTCGGCATTAGCAGTTCGCAAGTCGTTGACAGCGGCCCAAGACGACTGTGGCAGAGACACCGGTGGTTCGGCTTGGTGGCTGGATGATCTCAGCCGCTCTTGGAGCTCATCTGTCCGATGCTCAAGTTCAGACAATCTCCTATGAATACACGCTCGATCAGCACAGGTTTGATGTCAATAGGAGAAGAATCACTCGTGCATACTTGCGCTTGTGTTCTCGTCTAAACGGCTCAGAGATGATGCATTGTCTGTTCATCTTCCGGCATCTCGTACAGGGTTGGTCGGGATCGAGGTATGCATCGCAACGGGCCTGTCAAGCCAGACGGCAGTGAATTAATCGCAGCGCATACCAATGACACGCATCATAATCCATACCTTCTGCTGCCGACATTCTGTGCATGCTCTCTTGACCACTTTCCCGTCGGTCCTGTTTGGTGCGTTAGAGGAGGTTTCCGTAGGCGAGGGCGCGCGTGCCGGATCGGGCTTACGGGGTAGTGTCAACTTCGTTCATTGTACGCGTCGTCTTCAGCACTCGGACATTGAAATTCTCTGTCTGGTCGCCGTGATAAGTAAGATAGATATCCCACACAGTACAAGACACGAATGGCGACACCGAGGAGATTTAAGAAATTGAGACGGAGGACGAGACTTCCGGACGATCGAAGGTTCCCTTGGCCGAGGATGTTTGGAACGGGGGGGGGCGCAAGCGGTGCAGGGGGCGCATGAGGCGCGCAAGGGGGAAACAAAGGGTTTTGGGCCAAGTGCCAATAATGGCTGACGAACAGATCACAGGCCGGACCACGCCGGGTAAATGCGCCGAAGCTCCGGGATTGCAGGACACGTGCATCCGCCCCAGTCCGAATAGATTTACGGAGCGAGTCCAGCCTGGCCAGGGTACGAGGTGCATATATACAAACCACATATATCCGTCAAGGTAATACAGCCTCGTCGGACGTGCAGGACGCGAGCTGCCACATATCCCAGATGCCGTTCATCCTGCCATCTTCACGTCACAACGTCAATTTCCCATCAAACCTGCACATGGCCTCGACCGGGTCATTCCGAGACCTTAACCGCCCACATTCGCTCATAGAAACAGTACATGCAAAGTATACAATACATGATCAAATGCAAAAAATTGAGGTCAGTATGCATCATGCCGACCGAGAAATCATGGCCGTCTCCCAACTCAACTTCCACTCGCGTTCCAGTTTGCTGTGTAACAGGAATTTCTTCAGCTGCCTTCGTACGCCATCCCACCCCAGTGCTGGGTCTCCCAGGGTCATCAGTTTGGCCATCACCTCCATCTGTAAGGAATGCAACTGTCCTCGACGTGCTGCATTTGCTGTGACCACAGCCAGCCATTCCCATAACTCTCTGTCCCACGTCTCCTCAAAGACCCAGGACCGCAGCACGTCTCCAAGCTCTTCGACGATGCGACGATATCCTGAGCAACGGCAAGTCCAGCCCAAGAGGTTTGCATGGTAGATGAATACCGCCTTGCAGATTGCCGTTTCTATTTTATGCTCTGCTGTCGAGATCCGACAGAGCCTCATGACTTGGGCACTTTGGAGGCGTGGATCAAAGCTCACCAGGAAGGCTTGATCATCCTCCGATAGGACATCAGATCCTGCTTCTCGATCGATGAGCTTGGTCCAACGATCGGTGTTTGCGAGAGTGGTAATTGTATCATAGGACAAGTGACCATCCCCGGCCACAAATTGGAATCCCATGGGCAGTGCGTCAATGATTTTAGTTATTGTTGGTGAAAACGGTTGGCTCGGGTATTGTAACCGAATTCCATCAGATGCAGGGTCCTGTAGGGCGATGCGGTTGCCGAATATAAGCAAAGCGTTGGATTCAGCCCTGTGGAGACTGGTCAGATCTCGTTTGTGTTCGGAAAGCGGTTCGTCCGCGCAACATACCAGGATACGAAGGACCATAAAGAACCACCGAATGCGTTCAGAATGCTTGGGGCAGCTGCCTTGACCATCTTCCTGAGACCATTCAAGTGTGCTTCGTAGGCATCGACATCCAAAAACACGTTCTGCACTGGTTAACAAGGTCATGCCAAGTGAGACAGTCAATCCTTACATCAATAATCATGAGGAAGACTGTTGCAAGAATAACGGCCTCGTCAACACACCCCGAGTTCAACTTGTTCCGAATGCCATTAAGCGCTTGGCCCTTGTGCTGGAGTGACCAGTTACACATCCTTGTCTGGAAGTTTTGACCCGCTGCCCTGAAACTGAGGCAAAGCGCCACAGTTGCTTCGAACAGCTCTACATTCTGTAGGGCAAACGGGAACGTGTCCCGGATTAGAGGGTTGTCCTTTGTCTGGTATCTGAGGCCAGGCCGTTGTGAGGGTGCCCAGTTGTGGATATCTGAACTCCATTAGCAAGAGTTTGTGGAAGCAGGTCAGGGCAGAGAATACAGTGATCCATGGCTGCGACAACTTCGTCGCCCTGACGGACTGGTACAGAGTCAAAGGGGTCAAATAACTGCGAAGTCGGCTGTCGGGCAAGTCTGGCACCATTGGTGGGCACTCCGTCAAGTACTCCTCGTTTGGAATCATTCGTTGAGGCTGTTCCTGACCGACGCCGCCACTTCTGATTTCCCTGTGTAGAGTCTGGAACTGAGCCGGACTGTGCGGTTGGTGTGGATTTCTGCTCCGACTTGAGATCGATGTCTGCAGTGGGCACGGGCCCGCTAGTAAGAACCGAATCTGGGGATGGGCCATAGATCCATTTGAAATTCTCATCAGATTTCTCCGGCTCCCGTTTGACGATCGCTCCAGCATCGACCGGGTCCTTAGATGAGGACCCGCCATCACTGCTTTTGTCGCTTCCTCTGTGCGGCGAATCCCCCGGTTTGGCTAACGGAATGGCTTTCTTGCGCCAATATGCCACCCGGGCGGCGTGCGCTCGAGCTTCAGAGTGTTGGAGTTCCTGCAGGCGGCGTTTGTTGGGCTTTGCATGATCTTTGAAGGTTGATTGATTATAATTGACCAGAGTCGGCATGGCGCGGCTAATGCTATTTGTCAATGTTCATTCTGATAGGGGCTAATATCTCGAAGTGAGCGCTTTTCGCCCCACGGTTTGGTGAAGGAGATCAACCGGAACTCTTGGTCCAGAAGCAGCAACCCGGATATTGTGGTGATTTAATCGGAGGACAGATGAAGGCCGTTTCGGGGTAATCCTGAGGATTTCGGATTGATGACCAGCAGACGAACCAACTCCAAGCTCCTGGTCGCGAGTGTGCGAAGATTCGTAGGGGGCGGTAAGTCGGAAGAGATAACTCTATTAGCAAGCGAGGCGCAGTCGATCTAGCAAGTCTGGAGCAGAATGAAAATCCGGATTTCGTGGGAACGACGAGAGCGGCGGTCGAGGGTCCACGTTGACGCTGCGACACTTCTGTGTCGAGTCTCCGGTGGCAAGAGTAGTAATTGTCGCCAAAGGCTGATGATCCTTTACACATACAAGTTCATCCCAGTCATATAGTGTAGCGGCCGACGATACCGACACTCGCGACACATGCGGGAGCAGTTCGATCCACTATAATCGAATCAAGGTTCTGAGAAACTCAGGTGAGAGCGCAATGGTGCGTCCGCAGCCTCGGCATCGTTATCTTGTTTAGTTGGCCGCTACTCTCTGCCAACAATGAGCCCAAGTGGTTTCGCAGACAGAGCGCTGCTAGATTCCCAAGCGACTTGTCCTTGTACCTGTCGACTGGCGAAGATCGTGACAGAGCTGCAAAAGGCTTAAGTATCGCAGATCATCATCTCTTTGTTCAGGTCAAGAATTGAGGAATCAATTATATGTCCTTCAGGTCGCCGTGATCTGATTTGATTCGAGAGACAGGTGCAATGGCCCGGCAAGTGACTGTTCCTCAATAGTATGGGTATATCAAGGTATCAGAGCAGCAGGCAAGCTGAAGGGGAGAAAGATTTCATGGGAGGTTACAGGTTCTGGACGGTGCGGACTGCGGACCGCGAGGGGGCCAGGGGGCCAAGGGTCTTATCGATAAGGCTGGTCGGTGCCTGTTAACACCGACTGCGAACTTTTTTTTTCATGTCGAGGCCCTCTGTCTATTGAGCGCCGCAGTTCACACAGCAAACGATCAACGTCTTTCAAGACCAGACAATGCAGAATAACGAGATGACATAGACTCTGCGACACCAACACTCCCCCCAATAATGGATATTCACCGGTGCCGCTTTGTGCAGTATCCTCCACAGCCGATCAACGCTCTCGCATTTTCTCATCCCCCCAACCCCAAGCAAAAAGCGCCTACCGATCTGCGTCTGGCCCTAGGTCGAAACAACGGCGACATTGAAATATGGAACCCCAAAGACGGTCTCTGGGTACAGGAAACACATCTAAGAGGTAGAAAAGACACCACGATCGAACAGCTTGCGTGGACCCAGGACCTAGTATGGGATGAGCTGCACAATTCTGGTGCGCCGAAGACTTCACGGGGCCCTCTACGGCTTTTTAGTACCGGCGGGTCGACCTCGGTGACGGAATGGGATCTCAATACAGGCGCTCCTCGAAGCAAAGCGGAAGGAAATTTCGGAGATATTTGGTGCTTTGCAGCACAACCTCAGCTTGAAGGTGCTGCAAGTCCGGATGACCTCCAAGGCGGCGCAGGTACACAGTTGCTCGCAGCTGGGTGTTCAGATGGGACAATCATTCTCTTCTCTACCGAAGACGACGACCTGCGCTACCTCCGACCTCTAGCACAACCCCCGGTCAAGAAACCTAAAGTCCTGAGTCTGGTGTGGCGCGACCGTAACACTGTGGTGGCTGGTTATGAAGACAGCACGATCCGCGTCATCGACATCACGAGCAGAAGAATCATGAGGAATATGAGCCTGGGAAAGCCAATCGAAGGCAACAACTCGGTCGTGTGGACTGTCAAATGCCTCCCTGATGGGACTATCGTCTCTGGCGACTCGTCCGGTGAATTAAAGATATGGGATTCTAAAAACTACTCTCTGGTGCAGCGGCTAAAGAGCCACAAAGCCGATATACTCGACATTGCTACGAGCGCCTCTGGAGACGTGATTTTTTCAGTTGGTGTCGATCGGAGGACTGTGACCTACAAGTTGGTCCCTCTTCACCCCGGAAGCCAAAAGTCGAGGTGGGCCGAGGTATCACATAAACGGTTCCATCAGCACGACGTCAAATGCGCAGCCACTTTTGAGAGTAAAGAGTTGAGCATTCTGGTGTCAGGAGGCATAGATGCCCGGCCTATTGTGGTGCCAATACGCCGTTCGCAGACCGAGTATCATCGTTCCCTTCCCCACCTCCCTCAGCGATCACAGATTTCAGCGTCCAACACTTCAAGAATATTCATTTCCTGGTGGGATCGCGAGATCGTGGTATATCATGTGCGAAAGTTCGCAACTCTACCAATAGCTGATGCAGGCTCTGACGGAGCCATGGAATCATGTTATGACACACTCACAAAGCTTGTCGTACAGGATGACGAGAGCATCCAAGATGCGCAGATATCTCGAGATGGACGACTGGTTGCTGCCGCCACCATCAACAGCGTCAAGATGTTTCAATTGCGAAAGACCCAAGTATCAGGCAGACCATGCCTGCGAACCCGACAAATTGAACTACCGTCTTCTGTTGCCCGCTTGGGCGCTCGGAGAATAGGTTTCTCTCCTGATGGCAAGTGGTTGTACTGTGTCCGAAAAGATAACGCTGTGGTTATGGTAAAGATTATTCTGTCCGACGATCCAAAAGAGCAGCCCGCCGTTCACGACAAAATTGTGAAGCTCTACCGGCAAGCCCGAAAGACGACACAGTCGGCGCTGGGGAATTATCTTCAAACCATCAAACAAGTCGCATTCTCCAGTGATAGCCGCGTGCTCACTGTGGGAGACCTATCAGGTGCTATCGATGTCTGGGTGCTTGAAGGTCACGAAGACCCCCTCTTCATTGACGACGCGGCGTCAGAATCCTCTAGCGACTCGGCTGGGTCCTCCAATTCCTCTACAACATCAGACGACGAAGACGACGACTCAAGTTCCCCCATCATCCACGGGCAGAAATGGATCCGCAATCCGTCTGGTTCCAGTCTGCCACAACTTGATTCGTCCATCCTTGTGCTGACATTTCGACCTTCAAATACCACGGCTAGGCCCGCAAGCTCAAGCACGCATGACAATCGCGGTCTACACGCGACCCGCCACAACCCACACCCAGTCAGCCATGAACTTCCTGACGAAGCCAACACAAAACTCATTGCCATCAGTTCAAAGCACCAAATCGTGGAGTTTGATATTTTCACTGCCAAGCTAAGCGATTGGTCACGACGGAATCCCTCGAAATTTCTGCCACACGACTTCACCAAAATCAAAGACCGGGTCATAGGGTGCTTCTGGGATTGCAACGATAGAGCGAGAAGAGGGGAAAGACTGTGGCTATATGGATCGACCTGGATATTCATGTTTGATGTGTCCAGGGACCTACTGAGAGACCACCCAAATGGAACAACAAGTGGCTCTGGGGCAGGCGACGTGGAGAAGATTGGACGATTGGGTCGATATGAAGTGGTGGAGCCAGTGATCAAACGAGGCTACGTCAATGAGAAAGGACAAAAGCTGCTCCAGGCCGCTGTCAACGGACAGCGAGAACGAGAAGGCGACAAAAGAAGCAGGAAGCGCAAACGCAACACGGGAGCTGGAGACGACATCCGCCTCTCTGAGCGCGAGGGGGGAATCGGACCTGAAGTGCGCAAGTTCAAGGCTGCCTCGGGTGACGATGCGGAGGTGGTTGATCTCGACAATGATAACGTCGGTGATGAGATGGACCTGGATGATGAGCTGGACGAGGATGAAAGAGAAGGCGACGCTCTCGCCCTGATGAGACGAGGCGAGGGTGCGACACTTGAGGCGGCAGAGGCCGTGGCCACGGATGAGCAGGTCACAGGGTCAGTGTCCAGGCAGAGGGCACCTCGGATGTACTGGTACACGTTCGAGTATCATTCAATCCTGGGGATAGAGATAGTTGGCCCTGCGGCGCCCTCTCAGTCGACCGACGACGGCGATGCAACTGCATTGGCCACGACAAAAGGGACCAAGGCGGAGGATGTGCGCGATAATACCAGCACCAGCCCCAGCACCGGCGACAACATCGAGGTCGTCATCGTCGAACGGCCCATGTATGATGTTGAGCAAGGCCCTCGCTTCGACGGCGGGCAGGAGTGGGAAGTATGACAGTGATAGGCCATTCCAGATATCCAGGCTATTGTCACACAGCTAGCGATCCATGCTCCCTCCATTCATCCATTCATTTTCATATCAGTATCTAGCACGATCTGATCTGTATGCGTTGGTGTATACATGGACAGAAAAACACGAGTGTCGAACATACTTGGCTAGTCAATCCAATCACAGTCACGGCAGAGGAAAAGAGTAGGAGCAAGAAGATGTTTCCCCTGGTTGAGTGTACTGTACCGAGTACTCTTTAGGTACTCTGTCCTCGGTACATCCGTCCATCCATGCTTACAGACTTGCTTCTGACCGAGTCCTCGCCTACCGAGTCCCTGGTACCTGGATACAAGTACAAGTACAAAAAGCACAAAAATGCTAGTAGCCACAAAGGTACGAGGGGACGAAAGGACGGGTCGTTTCACCCAAGGCGCCTGGACAGGGGGATACATCTGAAACGGCCAGCCAGATAAAGATAGAAGGCAAATCCCATCTAAATATGGTGCCTGTTCCCCGCTGTTGCTCTATTTCTTGAGGAAGACTGTGCGGGTGCGGCGGCGGCGACGGCGGCGAGGCTGTGCAGAGCGGGAGCCGGGCCTAATATTATATTAATATTCTATTTTATCCTCCCTGTACTCGGTACCTACCGTGTGCCTCGTACTATTCCATTCCTCCCTCTACGCTATGGTCATCCTTCCCGTTAATCCTTCAATCATGCCCAGGCTGGCCCTGGCTCTTACTCTTCCTCCCCCTTTTCTCTCTGTACCTCGCTACTTCTCTATGGGGTACCTGTATAGCTGCATCTAACCATTAGCCTCGCAAGCAAGCTACGGTTTCATATCCTCGCTTCGGTACCTCACTACCTCGCACCACCATGTACCGAGTACTGCACCTACCGACATAATACCGTAGACTCACTACTGACAGACTGGCTCGCTCACTTGCGATCTCCGATCCCCCCAAGCTACGACCTCGAGGACAGAAAAGCACCAGCCATACCGAGTAGTACAAGTAGTCGATTTCACATCACATCCCCACGAGAGAACTCGCTCGGAGGCTTTCGAAAGCTCGCATCGCGCCTTCTGTACCTAGGTACCTATGTACTCGGTACCTACATACAAGTACAGGTATGGGCAGTGGGTATGAGTATAGGTACGAGGGAAGAGGTACAAGTCTACGGAGTAGGAAACATTCGCTGGCGACCCTGTTATATATGCGTCGTCCTCCTCCTCCTATTCCCTACCGTGCCTCCAACAGTATTCTCCTGAGTAAATTCTCTCTCTTTACCTCCCTATCACCACAATTATTCCGCTGCACTGCGCTGTGCTGTGCTATACTTACGTTGGTACCTAGATAGGTAGCTTCACAGCAAATACCAGACATCCATGTATCAAACCCCCAATCGAGACCCGTCTCCGTACAAGTCCCGTTGCCCCCCAGCTCCTAGCTACTAACTCCTAGCTCATAGTGTCCAAGCACCATCTCCCTCGTAGCTAGCCAGGTGGCCAGCTAGCCAGCTAGCCAAACGGACATCTTCCCATCGCCGATTGACTACCTAGGGCAGGAAAAATTCCCAGACAGGTAGGTATCTACATAGATTCCCAGCACAAGAAAACCCGCCGCGTCGGAGTTCTGCCGCCACCACTGACTGGCTGGTGCTGGGGATTACGACGCCTTTGTCCGATGCTTCATTGGTAGGTACCTACGAGGTACCGAGCACACAGGCAGGACAGGGTACAGTAGGTATTAACTGTGGAGTCTGCAAACACGTGCTACTACTCCTCTGTCGCGAGGATCGAGGCCATTGGGCCTTGAAGGCTTGGTTATGTATCCTCCTACCAAATACAATCCCAGCATCATATCACAGTAAAAGGATCGAGCAGTAGAACATCTTTCGACTTGGAAATGGAGTACATTCCTGATTGAGTCTATCTCCTCTACCTCGTACACATGACAATTAGACATGTAGAACGACACTCTGATTTCGCTGGACTCGTACGCCTGGTAGCTTCTTGCTCAAAACAACTGCTGAACATCTTTTCCAAGTCTGTGGTCATCAATGTTCCTCAAACAACACACTCGACCCTGCGATGCAATTCCTCCCAAACACGCATATGCTGCCATAACTCTTGCTCATGTAGCACGTGACACCATCGAACCCAGTCACTATAAAGACGCAATGCCTCTTGCCTGTAACAAAGCACATTCCCGTCCAACATTGACACCTGAAAATGTCGAAAGCCTCCCTCTCAGTCATCGTTTTGCGTCCTTGTAAAATGCAGTATTGACTTTCCCAGCGCCTCGAAACCGTGCATGCATATTGAGACTGTTAGTATCCCCCGGATAGTGTAAAAATGGTATCATCAGATCAAGCATAACGACGTTATCGTGCCATAGAAATGACAAAGGAAATTGGAAGAGGGCATCGCAATGTCGACGTGCCCTTTCAAGTAGCCTCAGTTCTCCAGATGCTACCGTTGGCCTGACTGATCCATCTGTTGCTGAGACCATTGGACCTCTTGTGGTCTGTCGACCGGATGCTTCACTTCGTCGGGTCGTTCGCCGTTGACATGGCCGGGTATTGAGTTGATCATGTCGCTGGCCAAGGATTGGGCCACATAACTGCGAAGCTCCCGCTCCTCTCTTTCGTCTTCGCGCATCAACTGGTTCCTAACATGCTTGTCCATGTTCTCCCGTCGAATTTTGCGGATCTCGTGCATGATCCAAAGCAATACCTCTTCGGAGCAGCGAGTTCGAGGAAGGTGGTAACGGGAATTGCGCACATATCGACGGGTGACATCGGTGGCTCCATCATTGGAGAAGGCGATACAGTAGGCAATCTTGCGATTCCAGCCTAGAGAGTGACTGCGTTAGAACAAAAGCCTGGACAAGTTGGGCAATAGGAAGCTCACCTTCAGTATATACCCTGGGGTTATCCCACATCTCCTCACAAGGGTCAACGTGGATCCATCTCCGTTGATGCTCGCTATACACCTCGGTCCAGACGTGGTCTTCACTATTCCACACCCATCGTACTCGAGCTCCCGCAGCACGACACAACATACTGAAACAGTTGGCGAACTCTCCAGCCCGTCCGCGTCGAGTCTCAAGCAAGGTCCAGACCTCTGAGTACCGCGGAAACCTTTCAAAGGCCTGGCACCCAGGATTCGTACACTGGTACAGCTCGGTTCTCGTAGCTCCACGGGCCACTTCGTCGGGCGTGGTGGGTGTCTGACCTCGGGCTATTGTAGCACCATGACATCGTGTGCAGGCAGGATTGTTTACGAATGTGAAAAACGATCGCTTGAACCACCTAAAAGACCAAGTTAGAATCCAGCCAACCACTCCAAGTCCGAGCCAAACGTACCTAAGAAGCGACCTGATGACACAGTCCTGGTAACCCCATTCTGGTTTGACATTATCACCTTTGGAGGCAGCGAGAGCCTTCAGCAAATTATGTTCCTCTTCCGCCTCGGCGTATATTCGATCAATTGGGACGTGGGTTAACGCCTCGTCTAGAAGGCCGGGGTTTTCATATTTGACGGGGGTCATGGACAAGGTCAGGAGGAGATTTCTGAACTTGAGCGACGGGCCATCTTGGGGAGGAGACGGCACGATAGGATAACTGCGAAACGAGGTATATGTGGGTGGTTGGTGTTGCGACGAGCGAGAACTGGGAGCAATGGACGGTGGTGCGGAGTTCGGAGGGTGTGCGGTGTGTGATGAGGTAGGAGGTGCGAGATGGGGAGAAGCAGAACGAGGAGTCCTGGCTTGTTCCTCGAGTTCGTTTAACCTCCTCGTGCGTAGCAACTGCTCGAATTGTTTAGACAGGTCGGCGGCATTGAAGTCGAACTCATCGTCGAGGATGCGCGGCCGCGCGTTCCCCGCCATGGCTGCAGGGCAACTCGATGGATTGAAGTCAACGAGCCGACGACAAGGTGAAAAGGCTTGAGGCAGGAGAGGTGTGAGACTCAAGAACGAAAAGGTAGGACTCCAGCAGGTGAGGATTGTGAGCGTCAACCTGATCAGATCAGAGAAGAGTGTTGGTGACAAACTGGCGCAGTCGCCGAGCACAGCCCGAGTCAAGTTGCCTCGCCACAATCGGGAAAACGCAAATGGAGTTTCAGGTATAGCCCAGAAAGGGTAACACCAGGGCGAGGAGGAGAATTGGAAAAATATTGACACGGTCTAAAAGGCAAGACGGCGAGGTGCAATGTATTGTAGTGGTGGAAGAGATAGAGGAGGAGGCGACAGTGAGTATGAGAGTGTGAATTGCGTGGTGGTCAGGTCAGTTCCAGCAGTTGAGAGTGGTACGTGGACATGGACGTGGACGAAGATTGCGTGAGCCTTTCCCCAAGCAATTCCTTAGAGGGACTTGGGAGAGCAGCGAGATGCGAGCCACACACCCAGAATCCAGAATCCACACACGCACTCACGAGTCGCACTTGCGTGTGCGTGCTTTGGAGGTAGCGGTGGGCACCCGGGGGAGGAGATCGCAAGCGGACGTGCAAGGCCGACGTGGACAAGAATGGCCCAGGCAAGTAAAAAAGGAGCCACTCAGTGCAACTCTAGCACTGGCAAGCTTTGGTAGGCCCTGGATTGGCCCCCCGAAGGGAACAAGTCGAGCTTCCAAGGCCAGATTCTGGGGGATTCGGGCTGCTGCTTCTGGGAGGCTGACGACGACACCAACTGCGCCGCGCGTCCCCCTGGCACCGAACCAGCAAGAACAGCCCCCCTGATGCGCCGCCCCTCAGTGGCCAATGGCAACCCCCGTTACCTGGTGGTCGGTATGACGGCCTCCGTCCAATGAATCGCTGCTTGGCACTCGAGAAACTCCGTAATTAGGGGACACAAGGACTGCCCCCCGTCGACTTCGCCAGTCACTCTTTCCACCTGGCAGTTCAAGCAGTTTGCTTCTTCGTTTATTTTATCGAGGACAGGCACGTGCCGACAAAGACTACATCCCACTACGCCAAACAAGGAGAATGGGTCCCCAAAAAGGCAGAAAAGAAGAGATGGGATGAGGAGGCACACACCAGCGATCAATTGCATTGCTCCAGTACCGAGTAGGATGAACACGCATCTACCTCTTCTCATCATCACCTTTTTTTGCCTTCTTCTACTCGGTACATACCCTCGTCCCGGCTCCCTCCTTGTCCTCCCTCCGTCGCACTCCGTACATTGCCCGATTATCAGAGATGCAGACAAGTCATGGTTACGAACGTCGCCCTCAGCAGGCCATCACAGGGGCGCCACAAGGAAGCACCAGACACCACCAAGGCCTCCCCTAGTTGCACGTAATGGGCTTGGCAGTGCTGATGCGCAATACTTATTTCACACCGGGGGATTTCTATCAATCAGATGCCGCCCACAGCTGCAGGCCAAGATCGAAGGGCTGACTCGTACCATCTGCTATTCGCTTCCCTCGGGCTGCAAAGCGGATCAGAGACCCACGTTTTCACCCCTTCTGACGTTTGGACGTTTTCCATGTTTCGATGCTTGAGGGCAAAAACTGATCGGGCTCAAACTCGCCCCCTCCTGCGATGGTGATCATATCCGCCCAGACCTCGTCCACATCTCTTGGCATCTCTTACTTTGCAGCCTCAGGTTTCGAATTAGTCTTTTGTCGCATCCTTTTCCTCAGAGCCTCGTACTCATTCAACACATCTCTTTTCAGCCCGCCTGCCTAGCAAAACGTGTTCCACGTTTTCTTCCACCATGGCCACGTCGCTCGGATCGCTTTTTCTTCGGCTAGAATGTGTTCCAGATCCAGCTCCCGTCGGCCAGAGACCACATCGATGTCCTTGATTTGGCGGATCGAGGTTCTCTTCCAAATCTTGAATCCGATGTAGAAGACTATGACGATGGGCGCCGCCAAATATCCCTCGAAGAAGATCTTTGTCCTCTCAGATGATGACATGTCGCGGTAACCAATCTGTGGTGGCAAAAGATAGTCAGCCTTGTTATTTGAACAATTTAACGGATGATACGAATCAGTGACGCAGTCAGATGCCATGTACGTCAGCGTCCATGTTGGCGACAAGGACAACTCACAGGGGCAAATCCCGTCCAGAACTGGGCTATCAGCACCAGGCAATTAAACAGAAATCCAATCCATGACCCAATCACGCCCGCTTGAGACTTGTAAGGCAGTTCGTCCAGAGTGTGACCGTGGTATTTCCAGGCCTGGCGGAATCGGATGTGGCACAGACAGATAGATCCCCAGGTGAAGATGCTTGCGAGACCGCTGACCGCAAACATCCAGTTCCACGCTTCTTGACGCTGCGAGGGCGACAACGCCACAATATAACAGAGAGCCCCGAGTGCCGACGAGAAGAGAATGGCCACGAGCGGTCTGCCCGTTCGGTCAATATAGCCAAAGATTTTGGGTGCTTGACCGTTATCAGCCAGTGCAGCCAGCGTTCGCGATGCGCCATATACAGATGCGTTTCCGACACTCAGAACTGCGATGAGAATGACAGCATTGAAAACCGAGGGCAAGCCTCCAACGCCCGCATTCTTATTCCTTGTTAGCGTCGACCATCTCCTCTCATAGCCTCCCGGCTGCCGGAACAACTTACCTTGATGGCCAGCACGAATGGCGAGGTCCAGTTGTTGGCGCTGCTGCCACTATTGAGCAGCCGAGGGTCATCCCATCGCACCAGGCATCCAACGAAGGTCAAGGAGATGATATAGAACTGGTTCGGCGCCGGTTAGTGAGGGCTGACTCAAAATGCCAGGGGTCTTTTCCGAGCCGGCTTACCAGAACCACCCGCCAGAACACTTGTTTGATGGCGGTGGGAAGCGCCAGACGTGGATTTTCTGCCTCTGCTGCCGCCAAACCCACCAGTTCAGTCCCACCGAACGAAAACGCGGCTGTGACAAAGACCGAGCAGACGCCCTTGAAACCATACGCAAATGCGCCTGGGTCGTCCCATGTTTTGGCTCCGAAGTAATGCCCGGTAGGTCCTCCACCGACATCGACGACTAAGGCGAATATACTGTACGACAGTCCGAGTCAGTATCGTTTTCTTTCCGCATCATTTTATGGAAAAGGGTGCAACTCACATAAACCCTAGCGTGGCGATCACTTTGACGATCGAGAAAACGAACTCGGCCTCTCCATAACCCCTGACACCGAACAGATTGATGGAGACAATGACAATATAGAAGATGGTGACCCAGACACAGGGGTTAACGTCACGTGCTCCCTGCCAGTAATTTAGGGTTATACTGGCAGCCATTATTTCAATGGGCAAAGTGACTAGCCACTGAAAGCAGTAATTCCAACCCCTAGGGTCAAGGTCAGGGTTAAGGTCACGACTAGGGTTATCAGGGAGGGGATCCACTCACATTGCAAAACCCCATGCTGGGTCAATAAATCTTGATGAGTATGCCGAGTATGAGCCAGCGACTGGGAATCTGTTGGCGCAATCTTGATATCAACCTCTTGAGTCACAGTGATGGGGACGGAGAAGACTATCATGCAGGCGGTGACCGCTTTGGCGACAATCTGCGTCTCCCGCCAGGTCTGATGGAGGCACTCACAAGACAGCCATCTCTCCCAAGGCATGCACGGTGCAGAAGATCATGATTCCCAGGAGGCAATACGCGAGCACGAGCGCTGCTGGACCGCCGGTGGCAAGGGCCGAGCCTGAACCGACAAAGAGACCAGTGCCTATGGAGCCGCCAATGGCAATCATCTGCAAATGTCGCTGTTTGAGTTTCATGGCCAGCGCTGGCTGTGCTGGCGGCTGATCAGGCAGCGGTTTCCCATTATCGTCGACGAGCAATTCGGTGACACGGGCGCTGTTGGATACAGAAAGAGCGGAGATGTTAGCATGACCTCCGTGTCGGTTTCAGGCATACGTATGAAGTGGAAGACGCACTGAGGATTTTCACGAAATCCATCGATTATGCGGGCGAACAAAGACGTCTTCTCCTGAGTGGAGACGATCTGGCCATATTCCTGGCTAGGAGTGGGAGACCCAGGGCTGGGTTCCTGCTTCTTCTCCAAGTCAATATCCATGTTGATGATCTGGAAACCTGGGGCTGTCGTCGAAGATTCGAGAGTCAAGGGCGTGCGAATGGAGTACAAGACCACAAAGCCTCGCTACGAGGCAATAATGTGAGACGAGAAGCCGTGTCTATCACGGAAGCTTTCAGGATGAAAGAGTTCAAGGAACTAGGAAGTGTGGAAATTTGCACCCTTTTGACCCCCAAGACATGGAATGCTATTTCGGCAAAGATTTCTCTGATCAAACCCGCCTCCACGCGCGTCTGTAGCGCGGGACAACATCTCGACCCAGATGAAGGACCCATCTCGGGGTATCCCTAACCTCGGGCAACACTGTTCTGGTCTGGCATTATGTTACACTGACAAGTTGAGGTCACAACAAGGTTGGGCGCCGAATCTCTGTGTGCGGATGCTCCGGAAGCAAAGAACAGAGATAAGGTACCTGAGAAGCACCAGGATCTATGCTTGGCGAGCCCTGATCAAAAGAGTGGACTGGACAGTGGTCGATAAGACTCGCTGAGTGAGTGATTCACGATGCACAGGGTGGATGAGTGATATAGTTCGTGTGGGGAGACTGAGCCTTTTTCCCTCCCTTCTCTTACGACATGGCCCAACTTCAAAGGTGGTCGCGTGCTGATACGTTGGGAGGGAGAGAGCCTCGTGAGTTGACAGTCGATCAAAAAGGAGATAAACGGTAAGGCTAACTCCCTCTGTCCAGCTGCGATGTAGAATAATTCATCGCCTATTGGTGCTCTTTACTCGGCGATGGCAAGAAGCTCATGCATGATGATCACACCAGCGGCAATGCTGCGCGTGTCGGATTCGTCCGAGGGGCAAGGGCGAGTAGGTGGTATCTTGCATCGTGGGGCGCAGGTGCTGACTGGGTTATAGGGTGAGCAGAGGTATGTGCAGCCCAGTGGTTGGTGACCAGCGATAGCGATAGAGACGTTGTCGATTATTCCTTTCCCAATGGCTGAATGGGGAAGCCTCTTATGACATCATAGCCTTCATCCCCGCGCCCAGCCCTGCAGTTGCTGTAGCCAGTTCTGGCACTACGTCACCACGAGGCTGTACAGCTGTAAGGCTGCATGGGTTTCTCTCTTTGTCCAAGTAGTTGGAAATAGAGAAGCACCAACATGTGCTCCCTTCTTGTCTTATCAGCCACTAGACTTCTCATGGAACTATCTGTCCCTGCGTAGCATTGAACACTTTTACCGACTGAACCCTTGGGTCGGCCTTTTCTCGCCCACCGGAAAATACAGACCTCCGAGCCTTATTCCGCGTTCGCCACTCCGAGGACGCTGGTCTTTCTGATACGCATATGAAACCCTCGGCGATGGCAGTAGCTTGGAAAAGCAGGTAGCAAGGCTGAAGATAAGACTTGTATCTATTCAACTGCTCCAGCTCACCATAGCAAGCAGGTCATGTCATGTTCATTGAAATCCTCGAGCCTGTCTCCCATATGCCACAAACAGGAGTCTCCAAACCCATCCCTCGTGGCTTACGTGGCCGTTCCATGGCATCGTCACTCACTCATATCTTTCCTTTTGCTCATTTGGGTCAGAGAGCCGACGCAAGCACACTCTCTGGGAAGTAGCATCATGCACAAATAACATGGTCTCCAGCTAATGAGGGAACTGGAACCTGCCTATTATACACATCTCCGAACCCACTAGACTAGCCA